ACCCGTAGTTTATACAACTTGATAAAATTTCCGTTATAGCAAATATGTACAATTTGATACGTCAAGTAAATACGCTGCGTTGCTAGAGGAGAATAGTAAAGAAAAAAAAATTAAGTTTGTTTCTTTACGAAGGAAGAGAAAGTAAAAGGTGATTGAAATCATTTATTTAGCACAGCTCAATTTTTTAAATGCCAATTCATATTTTGAAATGTATTTGCCGAATATATTAACGTAGTACTTTATACAGATGGGCAACGAATTAAAAACTTACAGCGCAAAATAACGAAACCGTTCGATTGCAGTATCGCCTTTGGCATTCGCGATTTTGTAACTTTGCAGTTATGTAAAGTAAGCGGCTGAGCTACGAAGAGTGAAGTTGCAGGTGTGGAATGCGAGTATGTTCTTTCATACGACACGTTTTTAGACGAATTCTTCGATCGTGAGTCATTAAATACAATTTATTGTCTACACACTTTGAAGATTGTGAAAAAATTAATATTCGTTTATTAAGTGCATTCTGCAGCTCGACGTTCTTATATACCATTAAGTGAATATAAATGTATTATAATAATTTTAACATTATATAATAACTGTTAATAACTGTTATCTTTATTGTTAGTTAAGGAAAAATATCTGTGATTTTGTATTATTCTCTCTCTCTCTCACTCTCTCATGATTAATTATATGTTAACACTGTATTTTAATTCGAAACTAATTAATTTAAAATATAATTAATGTAGAATATTTATGAGCGATATTTACAAAAATGGTACACATTTAAAATGCGTAGCATGTATTGCATTCTTAAATAGCATAAAGTTGTCAAATTTCGGCATAAAACGATGAACCAACAAAATTTATTATTACGTCAAAGATACAGTCTTTGTCAACAGAAACATAATACGATCTAATCTATTCGTAGCGTGCTTCACTTGACTGTGAGAAGTAATTATGCATGTAACACAATTACATAAATTGTGGGAAACGCCCACGGGATTGCACAAATGTAAACAATTGTACAGATTTTTCTCATGAAGCATGGCATAAGTAATAATTAAGTTTATTGACATATAATGCATGATATAATAAGCGATGTAAATACATATATACATATTATGTATGCTATAAATATTGTAAAATATACGAGTATGTTATATGATATAAAAAGAGTATTTCATTTGTTATGCATTATTAATGCATGTGATAGATTTTTGATCAGGTTATATGTGATACTTATTTCTCTTTAGTGATAATATCGAGGTATCAATAATTTTTTAATTATTAAGTAACTAAAATAGATGATTTTTTCGCGAATTTAACAGGGAATTAAATAACTTATAAAATTACGCGTTACTGTTTGATAAATTTTAGATACAGCTTATTTAATAAAATTCTAATTTTTTTTTTAGATCTTAATCGCGAAGATGATGTTACAGATTGAAAAGTGAAATGAGTATATAATAACCTTTCTCACTATTAAAGAAAAATCGATATTTAATTGATTTAAACTTTCACTGTTAAAAATGAAGCTTAAGAATAATAATAACTACACATATTTTTATTATTTTTGGAGTGGGAATTTTTTTTTTTTTTTTTTTACTGTAGGTATGTGAATGTCCACTTCCCTCTGTCCAACGAGCCGACAGGGATTCACGGATAACAACGACCACAGCTAATCTTTGCAATTCATTCCACGGAAAAATTCCAAAAAGGATCCATCACAGCATTAACGGAAACGTTAGTAGGATTATTTGAAACTGCGTAAATCGCGCTGAGCCCGTTGAAGCGTATAGTAACGCGCATTGGTAACGGGAGAAGTTCGGATAATCTCTTGATCGCTCTCGTGAGAGCCAGAGTGCGTTCAATTTCGCGAGAGTTTTCTCTCTTTCCTTCCCCCTCTTTCTCTCTTTCTCCACTTCTACAAAATGAAGATTATTTTTATGATTATGCATCCCGTACTGTTGCTCGTTAACCGCGCAAGGTATTCCGGATGGAGGTTGATGCGAAAGTGCGCTTTAGTGGGTTATGACGGTCAGCTAATTAGCTGAAATAAATTTTCGAGTAATGATATCGAAATAAAATCATAGCATATGCTAGCAAATGTAATGTAAAACCGATATTTACTACACTGTATAGGTATGTATTCGGTAGATCTCCAACACAAATTATTCATGTGATTTGATCTTCTATCCGCGTTTGATACAAAATACCGATATTAATTTAAAATCGATGACCATTTTTAAAAATGCTATAAGAATTTGTATTTCAATGTTTAATTGTATATTTTTTAATTTTCTTATCTTAATTTTAATAATGTCATATAAAACTTTAATAATTGAAACCGTATACACATGTGTGAAATATCGATCATTTAAAGGAAAATAATGTTAAAAAGGGACTGATCTAAAGGATAAATAAAAGGAATAATGTTTTTTGTAAATTTTTACTCCTTCGATACAATAAATTCCTTGCTTAATTTTCCAGGTGTTCTTCGGACGCTAGTAACTTTTTAATAATTATATTATACCTAGAAGGTAAAAATCTATCAAAAACATTATTTTTTTAAATTACTTTTTTGAACAATTGATCTCTTTTTAATATCTTTACTTATAACAGTATCGAGTTTAACCATTTAAACAACTTTTAATTAGGATGCTGTAAATATATATAAAGAAAATTCTTTTTTAATTTTCCTAAAATGTAGTACACATCTACATATGTACAAACATTTTTATTATATCAATAATTGAAATTAGAAAATCAATTAACAAATAATATTTTTCTCAAAACTGTATTTTCGAAACAGCAAAGTGATAGCAAGAAATTTTTCAGGCAAATTATTTTAAATTTGATATGTATATATTTAAATGTGTCCTTTATCTAGTCACATGGCAATCTTTCAATACATTTACTTTCCTCTTACCGATACAATGGTATATAACCTTTTTGTTTCAATTTCATAGATTTTGTTACTTCCCCCAATTTTGAAATTTTCTTATGTAAATAAGTAATAGTAATTGTAAATATAAAAAAATTTAAAATTATTTATTTTAGATTTACTCTTACAAATATTATTTTTAAAAGCTAATAACTTAAACATTTTCAAAACTATATTATATGTATAAAATATAATAAAAGTAATTCAAAATTTTAATGTTACAAATTTGAAAATATTTACATTTCTAATTTTCGAAAAAGGTTCTAATATATATTAGCTTACTTATAAATTTATTTATATAGGCTCAACTTTTTAATCTCGTTTCATGTTATTATATCTATGGTAAAACATAGTTACTAATATATACTTTAGAAATCTGAATAGCATATTTCTGATCGATTTAAAGTCTCAATGTAATAATTTAAATCGATGCATCTAAATATTATAATAAATAAAATGATAAGATTATAATAATGAAGAAATCAATAAAACCGATGGTGATAAATTATACGATGAATTCGATTTGATAGCAGTGCGCCATATATCATTCAATAAAAATACAATTTTAATTGAGACATTTTTTTTAACGATCAGGGCAAAATATACGATTATAAAGCGGCTGTAAAGGATGGCACCGCTGAAAACTGCGGAATGACATAGTAACGCATTAATGACTGCGAATTGTGAAACGTGTTTCTCATTCCATTCAGGTAATCTATGGTTGTTACATCTCTCGCGAAGCTCTCTACAAAATTGTGGTCTGCAATGACCTACATACTACTCAATCGATTCATTTTCTTTCGACCGCGCTCGGTTTGCACATTATGAGCTCCTCGTGTATGAAACGTAAAATGCGTTAAATAATGTGGAAAATGCCTATACGTGCTACGTAAAATGAAAACGATCAATTGAAACGTCATGTGTGCTCGTATAGCGATTTCAGATGTTTCATTAATATTTATAACGATATGTCATACTTGCGTTATCATAAACGCTCTTTGTTTTCATCGCTCATGAGTGATACGCAATTACTTGACTGAATTTCAGTCACGTCTAGCCCCCTTTAATAGTGTGTCATTGTGTGCCAATGCTATACGGTGGCATAAAATATTTGTCCTCTATGGGTTCTGCATGTTAATGAAACAAAAATGTGTTTGCGTGGAATTTATACTGATACCACGTTCAAAGAGTAGCTTATTTAATCTTTAGTCAAGCAGCACGTCAATACATTAAATAAATTTATTGAATTAATTAATTGTTTAAATTTTATTATAAAATTTATATTAATAATTTAAGATATATAGAAAATTGTACATGAGTTTTTATTAAAAATTCTTAATTTTAAGTTTCCATACATCTTTAATTTAAAATAATTAAATAATTACATTAAAATTCAATTATTAGTAATTATTAAATATATTTTATTAGTAAATTATTAAAATTAAATTTTTTTGTTATTATTATCTATAATGTATAATTATTGTAATTTACACGATTGATCAAAAAGGACGTTATATATCGAAAGACTAAAAAAAGATGAATATATATATATATTTAAATACAACATTTACATTACTGATATAACAAATCGTTTGAGACATTATTAAAATACGACATTTTATTTAATTATTGATTATTAAACAATTTTTAATCCCCTTTTATTCTAATATTGAATTCAATCAACAAAAACAAATCGATAAATCGTGGGTTGGTAATTTACTTAACAAAAACAAAAAACGACTGTTTTCAAATATTAACTTTTAGATATAGATTCATTAATTACTTTATTAATTTTATAAATATTACATACATGTATTTTAAAATTTTTAATAAAATATTAAATATAAATGTCTTATGAATAATATCGTAAAAAATTATTTTCTTCGGATCGTATATTATTACGCCTATTTAAATTTTACCGCTAAATATCGTGCGATGTCACATGGGTTACTTCATCATGGCAACAGCGCATGCGGTGTTGCCTTTTCATCTAAAGATTACCCCACTCTTAACTCTACACAGCTCAGAACAGCATACCAAACTAACCAAACCAACTGATCAACGTCCATTTTCTTCCGGCATTTCGACGGGTGAGGTTGGACGCGTCCTCAGTCCTTGGTAAGCATTTCTTTTTCTTTTCATCGAAATATCGCGTGAACTTCTTCTGGAACAATAATATTTGCGCTGTGCATTTAATTAATCGGCTCGGTAATATAATCGGTAGGAAAAAAATGAGCGAATATGTCGAAAATGCTGAATCGAACATGGGCCACGTGGCGAAGCGTCTCACGCCGGAGGAAATCGATCGAATGCGGGCGCAGGATTCTCGCTTGGTGACCAAATTTCGCGCGAATCAACTCGAGAGGGACGCAAAAAAGCACTGGGATTTGTTTTACAAGCGGAACGATACCAGATTTTTCAAAGATAGACACTGGACCACGCGGGAATTCGAGGAGTTGCTTGGTTTGGGCGGCAACGGGAATCAAAATGTCCTCCTCGAGGTGGGCTGCGGGGTCGGCAATTTCGTTTATCCATTGATAGAGGACGGATTGAAATTTCGGAGGATATTTGCGTGCGATTTATCCACGAGGGCGATCGAGTTGCTCAAGGTACATTCGCTGGATTTTCATTGAAAATTGGCTCAAGTTGCGAACCGATGCGTTAATAGTTGTTTCCTTGTAGAGTCATACGTTATTCGACCCGGGAACAATGAAAGCTTTTCAAGCGGATGTTACGTTAGGAAATTGTTTCACTGAAATTGATTGTCCAGTTGATGTTGCAACTCTAATCTTTGTATTATCAGCCGTTCATCCTGATAAATTTCACAAGTACGTTTAATAAATAATAAAGTAATATTGTTAAAATCGCAGCTCCAATATTATTGTAAGGTTCTAATCTGTTACATTTTGCAATTATTAATTAATTCGTATATTTAATAGAGTTGTCCAAAATATATACAACGTTCTTGGTAGTGGAGGAATCTTACTCTTCAGAGATTACGGATTATACGATATGGCACAATTACGTTTTAAACCTGGGCACAAAATCAGTGAGAATCTCTATATGCGGCAAGATGGTACTAGGTAATTCTATATTTTTTTATAGACTGTCTTCTTCTTGTTTGTGTTTATCATATGTACGGTCATAAAAAGATTTCAATATTTATCTATATTTTTTGTTATTACAACTGCTTACACAAATAAATAGATGTTTTTAATTGTCGGTTTGACTTAATTGATTTACAATGATATAAATTTGGAATATAATTCTACTAGACAATTCTACTCTCTTTACATAGAACATAGAGAGAGTAATAATAATATATTCTTTATATTTTTCAGGAGTTATTATTTTTCTGTAGAACAAGTAGCATATCTATTTGAATCTGTTGGTTTTCAAACGTTGGATTGTGGTTACGTACAGAGACGTACAGTAAATTTAAAGGAAAATATTGATGTTCCGAGAATATTTGTTCAAGCAAAATTCAAAAAATCTTGAATACGTATTATAATAATAAAGTGGTAAGTTTATTTAGATATCATATTTATATTTTTTGTAAGAAACAAATGTCTGATAATTTATATTCTATTTAAAATTTAAATTTTTACAAAAAAAAATTTTTTAATTTTTGTATTCTAAGATATATGATTTTCAAAATATTGTTTAATAATTTACGACTTTTATTTATTAATTGATATTTTAATGATGATTCGGTTTTATATCTGATTTAATGACGAATATGTCCTGCAGTACTGACTATTTCATTAATAAAGTTACATTATTTGTATTTATTTAATTGGTTGTAACAAATTTTTATGCTTTATTACAGGTACTGTAATTTGATAGCGCTTATGGCAAACTATGACAAAAATTTTAATTCTCAAATGGAAACATGGAAGTGACGTAGTGGAACACTTAGGTATATATTTAAGTTTTTATATAAATGTCTTTTTATCTATGAGTCTTCTATAACGCATGCACATTATATAATTACATGATGACTGTATAGTTCAACTGAATTTATCTTGACGATTACTTAATATTATAGTCTTTCGCTCCTATCTGATATTGTTTATGTATTTATATATATTAAATATATTAAGATTAAATAGATTTTTCTAAATGCAATACTATTTTATATTTTAGATGTCTCAGATAAGTTGAGAAAAAGGAATATTTTTTAAATATATGGTAAGTTTATATAAGTTTTAAATTCAAAGAAGATTTTTATAATTGTATTTATATATTAATCTTTTGTAATGTATATACAATATATATACACACATATTGTACAATTACATGATGATTTCATAGTTCAACTGATATTACCTTGATGACCATTTAATGTTATAGTCTTTTGCTCCTATCTGATATTGTTTATGTATTTATATAGATTAAATGTATTAAGATCTAAATAGATTTATAAATGCAATATTTTATATTTTAGATATCTCAAATGAGTTGAGAAGGAGTATTTTTTGAATACATGGTAAGTTTACATAAGTTTTAAATTTATTAAACATTTATATTATAAATTTATTAAAGATTCTTATATTGTAAATTTTTTAAATATATGTCAGTGATGTATACTTTATAATTTTGAAAATTAACTGTGATATATTTATATAATTCGTCACTACCACTGAGCAAAAATTAGAAATGCGTACATGGATGAATATTAAACTGCTGTAGTAAGTAATTGTATTTTTCTTATATTACAGAAAAAAAAGTAAAGATGATTTATGGCTCCTTATAAGAGCGATTTGCTCGTTATGAGATCTTGGAACAAGTCTGTTTTTATTTTTTGGCTTACAAGAGATTAATTAAAAGTTAAATATTGTAGAAAAGTTTGAGATAACTTTTTGGGAACCATTAATTAATACATACCGCAAAAGAAATTACAATTTTAATGACTAACACACGTACAAAATAATTTCTATGGTAGGTATAATGTGTATTCTATATATATTTTTTTACTTAAATATACTTGCAATGATGATTTTAACACCATCTTTCGCATGAATCGTTGTGATTATTTATTATTAGCTCTATCTGATATATAATTTAATGTCAAATATCGAATTTAAAAAATGTATTGCTTATAAATAATAAATTATTTTGTTTTTTTTCACCAGGTCCATTGATGTGCGATGTGACATGGATATTGTGGAAACATGAACAAATTTTTATTAAAATATTGAAGTGTTTTATTTCAATTTTATAAATAAAATTTTTATTTTATTATATATTCTCTACGTTTTTATCCCCAGTATCTTTAGCGCAGTTTAATTATTTTTATCTGTTATTCAAATTAAAAATATATAATCGTCTCTTTATTCTATATTTATAAAATTTTAACTTAATATATTTTAGTCTTTATTATTTTTAATTAATTACTATGACAGAAATTAAAGATTGTAAAAGATTAATCTAGAAAATATTTTATAGTTTCTTAGAATTTTTTTAATATTTGGAAATAATCAAAAAGTTACCTGTAGAAATTTATATAAAAGTTCAATTTTTTTTTATGACAAAAATATATCAGATAGTATAGGACTCTTCATATTCAAAATATAAATATAGGGCATCTAACAGTCAAAGAATAATAAAAAAATAATTATATCTATTTTAAAATTAATAATGCAGTTAAACAATAAAATCTTTATGACATTGTTATAGGCCTATTATATACATGTTTCGGCTTTATATTTTTTAAGCCCTCTTCAGATATAAAAATAGATATTATATATACAACGCAGTAAATTATAACTTTATAGTCGATGATTTTTACATATACGTTGGAACATTACTTCCAAATCTGTAATAACAGATCATATAGACTGCAATAACTAGGCCATGACTTCGACTGGAATAACATTTATATTCTAGATCAAGAACCGTGTTACAATAAACGCATTATCTCAGAGATGTTAAATATTAAAAAACAGAGAAACAGTCTTAATTAACTTCCAAATAGACAGAAGATTTACATAAATCGTACATTTCGATTATAAGCAAGGTTTGACTTTATATTACCAATACCATTATTATTACAGTTTAGTTCGTCGTGACACGTTTCTAATCAACAGCAGTGATTGTGATAATTTTATATCTTTTACTTGTTTCAATATTAATTTGTCAATTTATCTCAATTTTATACATCGGACGTTATGCACACTTACTGTGACATTAATTCTTTTACTTTCTTTGACTTCAAATCACAATTTAAATACCTAACTATAGACGAACATTTCATCATTGAAACGATTTTTTCAATTTTTGGTGTCTTACGTGCATGATCACATTATAATTGCTTAACTTTAGCGCGGATTATATCTATATATAACTTAAAATTCGTATTTACGCTTTATTTTTATCGATAAATAGGCGTATTTATGAAATTCTATAGCATATGTAATAAATCAAATTATATATTGTATGCGCATATCGATAAAAGTAAGACGTGCGATTTAATGTTTATAATAATACAATGAATTAGTGCACTTTTAACATTTATTATACATATAGTTTAATTGGGTTTCTACTTGGCAATGTGCCAATGTAATTTGTTAAATATAGTTAATTGTATCTGACAAATTAATTTTGTTATCGCGATGTGATTATATAGATATACTATTACTGTGTGCATGGTAAGTAACATACATATAGTAGGTTATATTGAGTACTAGACCATATAGCTAGGATCCGGTTATTTTAATATAAAAACATTTATAATAACCTAATTTATAATCTTAAGGTGCGTCTAGACTATCGAGCCGAAACGCGAGCCGAACTTCGAACCGAGCCGAGCTGCGAGCCTCGAGCCGAGCCGCGAACCGCGAGCTGAGCCTCGAACCGAGCCGAGCCGTGCCTCGAGCTGATGAGTTTCGACTTTCGAACCGAAATTATCGAGCTGAACTTCGGAGTCGAAATCAAGTCGAGTTCTAACCAAATTTCACAAGCGTCGCAAGCAATCCGTATTTCTTTCTTTTTTTTTCGATAATTTTGGTTCGAAACTCATCAGCTCGGCTCGCGGCTCGGCTCGGCTCGAGGTTCGGCTCGCGTTTCGGCTCGATAGTCTAGACGCACCTTTATACTATTTGTATACACATAAATTACATTGTCTTCTGTTTCGTAGTGGAACATGATGCTAATATTTTTTATAATTTATAAATTTTAATATATTTAAACAATACCTACATATTAAAATATGTTTAAATAAATTGTTAACTAATGAAGGATAATTAAACTTTTTCGTTGAATTACTTGATAGATATTGTATGCATGTATATATTTTTATTTTGTATAACGAATTTTTAGGTGTAATATAAGTTTGTAACACGCATGATAGTAAAATTCTACTTTTTACAATTCGTTTCTCATGACTTCCTGTTCTCATTTCATTCTTAAAATATTTTCATATTTATAAGATTTTCATAATATGCTAATACTTTTAATATTATTTAAAAGATGATCACATCATAAATTTACGCAATTTTATAGCTAACAAATGTAAATTAAATGTTTAATTTTTAGCATATGTTAATATATACTCTAAACGAGCACGCAAATTTTCTCCTTTTTTTTTCGAAGGTAATAATAAATGTAGAAAATTTATGTTGCAAAACAAGTGTAAAGAATAAATTATTAAAATTCATTACGAAATATTTAATATCTACTTGTACATCCTGCGAATGCTAAAATTCATATCAATATGGTAAGATGAGTTCATTTTATCATATTTTTATTTATAATGATCTATAGTTTAATATCTTTTTTATGATTGCGAACGGTTGAAATTAAGGTAGTTAATCACTCAGACGGTACAATAAAGTGCTATGTGTACGTACTGTCGAAACTAAGTTTTTAATTATATAAATCATCAAGATGTTTCTAAATCGAAATATTTCATGCTTTGCGCTTATTAATTAAATAAATTAAGGTAACGTTTTAATAATTAATTTCTCTTTGACAAACTATTCACAATAGTGCCAGAGCTAATTATTTTATTGTAACTATATTTCAAAAATTATTGCAGATATAGAAAATTTATAGTGCATGTAACGTGAACTATAAATTTATAGCACTGGCAATTGAATTTCGAAACCACAGTCTTTTATTTCCATAATATATATATATTATTCTTCCGTTTAGTATACGAGTAATTTATATAATATATGTAGTGTAATTTATTACATTAAATCTACTTTATATTTAAGAATAAAAAATTAATTAACAAAGAGAGAATTGAATATATTGAAAAACTGTATAACACTTCTTTCTTGATTAATCTTAATTAATCCTCAAACGGCATACTTCATCCCAGCGCCAGTAAACGGCACACTGGTGCGAATTAGAATTTTGTGATTTTATTCACTTATTTAAAATGATAAAAATAAGCAATGAAAAGGCTCAACATGTATAAAACAATACAAATAAGAAAAAGGGCACAGAGCCAAAAATGATAATATATTCTTCAAAATACTTTCAAAACTATATTTTCTTGAGGTAAAATTTCTCAACAAAACTCAAATTTAGTTAAATTATTCTTAAGGTATAAAAAAATTATTATTAAAAAAGAATTATGAGGCAAATGCCAATATTTTGAAAATTTTGCTGCTGCGAATTCGCACCAATGTACTATTTGAGAATTAATACAAAGTTATATTTTGTGAAAAATATGAATCAATTAAGGAAATATCAGAGGGACAAATTATGTGTAATATCCGGTGTTACACAATAATAATATTGTACAAAATCGTATATGATGGTACATTTCAGTTTTTCTGTACATATTTCAACATTCTTTCGTCTCATATAAATATTTTGTTTTACGTAGCGCAATAATAATGGCGTGAATAAAACTGCGAAGGCGACAAATGTAGATAAAAAAGTCAGAGAGAAACACGAAGTTTAACGGCTTGAATTGTTAATGATTCGGTTGCTTTCATGTTTATAGGACCATAAAAACGTTGCGACGGAGGCGAGAAGCCTAATATTAATCGTTATTTTATGCAAGTGCGTCATTTTTTATTAATTATAAACTGAATATATAAACAGAAATTTTAATAAAATGCAGTGCGTCGATGCTAAAATTATTTTTGTTTGTTTTAGTTAGAATACTGAAGTCATGAGACCGACCACTCTAGTAGAAATACTAGATCTAATAGAAACACAATTAT